TCTCATTTTTTACTAGTCCATGTGGTCATTTTCACCCTCTTCTGCACGAAACTCCAATTTCAGGCTTTACTTAGGAAAAATCGGTGAGTGCCTTTTACGACTTCAAATGTTTAACATTCACAAAACTTGTTAAGTAGGTGAAATATATCGGTTTGACTTTTCAAGTTTGTATTATTTTGTTGTGGTCATCATTTACAGCAATTTGATATTCCGAAATTGCTGTAAATGATGACCACAACAAAATTGTCAGAGTCGCCAGCAGTACATGCACGTGATTTAACTGTCAAGGCACGAGAGTTTGAATGGTCGACTGGAATCCTCTTCAACACATACTGCACTATCATGACCCCGAAAATCATGTCTATGCTTTTGAAGCGGTGGCTGTTCTTGTCCAGTATGCGATGGACCATGGACATCCTATGTTTGAAGCAAACACTGTACCACGAGAGTGAATAAAATAGATATCCTATTGTTAGGCTATAGACTAGTATGCTGTAGCTATCTATTTCGGACAATGTTTAATTGTCTCAAATTTAGAATAACGTTTTCTTAACAGCAACAAGAAGTCCTTTCTTTGTTGTAGTCATCATTTACAGCAATTTCGGAACATCTGTAAATGACTATAGCAAATTTACAGCAAATTCACAGCAAATTTACAGCAAATTCACAGCAAAGTCTTTCTACAATTAGCTTTTACTTATAGAACAACATAATGTATTTAAGCGAAAGAAGTAACATCAAAATCTTTGGGGTCATCATTTACAGCAATTTCGGAATATCTGTAAATGACTACAGCAAATTTACAGCAAATTTACAGCAAAATTGTCGCAAGCGTACTTTCCTGTATAACCGTTTACCCTGGCCGCTTGAACTTGTGTAGCAACATACTGGCCTGGAATGCGCGCACGCAAGCCCTTCTTTGCTGTAAATTTGTTGTGGTCATCATTTACAGCAATTTCGGAACATCTGTAATGACTACAGCAAATTTACAGCAAATTTACAGCAAATCTACAGCAAATCTACAGCAAAGTTATGATTTAAGAGAAGATATTTTTTAATATAAGTCCGAATATCAAAACACCAGCAGGACGTGAAGCGTTAAACAACGATTCAATCCTATGAAAAAAGGAGATTTTTGGTTTGCTACCCCTGCAGAAAGAGTGAGAAAATTGGTCTGTTGCGCATGCATGCTCAGATTCACAACAAATTGCAGCATATCCCAGCTCAGTGAAAATTCTCAGAATTCTCTCTTCGTCAGCTTGATATGCTTCAAGTTCAATATGTTTATCCGTTCACTTTCCACCGTAGTCGGTACTTTGATTAGTATCCAACTTTGGATCTTCCTTGAGTCTTACTTTCTTACATCATCAATAGGATGATTTCCATAGAAATATGATCCTTGTTCTGACTTGCCACGCGCGATATTTTTAGTCGTATTAGTCCTCATCTTTAGTTGTATCAGTCGACATCTTTTTCTCTATTGTTCACATGTATTCTCTTTTTCTCGTTTCTCCAAATATGTACTTCGAAAATCCTGATATATCCAACACAATGTAGTATTTGATACGAGCAACTTCCTTGGGATTGGATGCTTCCATCTGGTTCAACAGTACAGGACTCACCTCCAGATGGTAAATGGCCATGACAGCCGTTAACAGCAATCTAGAAATTTGAGATAGTTTTAATACGATTAATGCATCAGTTATATATATAGGTACCCTAGCCGCCAAAGATCCTATTTCAGGAGAGAATCAAGAAATTGGGGTGTTGAGGCACCCACAGCTAGTTGTATTCTTATATTTCTGACACCCGCTACCACTGCCTCCGAAAGCGATTCCATGGAGGTCCTAGTCGTCTTGTTACTCTCTTTGACGGCTGCCAAGGTCTTGGAGAGCAGTTCGTAGGTCTTGTCGGTGGAATTTGTAATTGATTCCTCAGAGTCCAATCCGGCAAGATTGGAGCTGATTACTCTGGAAACCCAACGTCTGCCCAAAGTCGCTGTGAAAACAGTGAGTTCTCCAACGTTCTTTGAAAGCTGGTCTCTCCCGATGACCATGTTTGCCATGTGGGGACCACATGGAGATTCCCAAATCAACTGCGCGTGCGTTGGATATTGGTACCGCTGGTACTGTATTGTCCGCTGGTCGCTATGGGTTGAATATTGGCCACAAAGCAAGAGCAAGAGGGACGTAGCTCTCATTGCTTTTTCTACTCGAGTGGTGTTCGAGCTATGATACGCAACAACACGAGGACAAGTGCACTGGTTATTGGTTTCAGGCTTCAGAAAGTACATCTGAAGTTATCGTGACTATTCGCCTGGAAATGTTTTATGCCACCCACCCACCCTTTTGGACGTCAATGACGACGAGATGGATTAGAGTCTACTGGCTGGTTTTTGTATGGTAACGTGCTGGACCTTCGGCGGAGGAGCTTTGGATGTGTATACAAACGTGGAGATCTCCCAGTCTAAAGCGTCATTCAACAAAGCTTCTCTTCTGAACCCGGTGCTCCTCCAAATATACATTACCAGTATGACAGAGCAAAATCTGGCTCTGTCTGGCTTTATCTGTGCCTTACAGATAAAAGTTGCAGGAATGGTGGTCGATTACCTGGATGGACTATGTTAGAATAAAGCAAAATGTGCTCTATCGTGAGTGCTTTTAGCGCTCAGAACAAACTCTCTGCAATCTAAATTTGTAATCGACTGTACAACACTTTCACGACAATAGTTCTCCTGTGTCTAGGTA